TATCATAGTTGTCAGAAAACCTAACCGCATATAATCATAAATTTTTCTACAAACTTCTCGTATCTTTTTTGGCATCAAAATTAAATTCTGAAAGTATAATAATGATCTTGGAAATTTTCCTAATTAAAGTATCCACAGTTTCGGTATGTACGACCTGCAGAATGTTTGTATTAAACAAATATTGCACTAACTGACAGCTCAAAATTTAAATTTAAATTTAAACATTTTTTTCGTTTTCGTCACTTATTGAGCAATACTCCAATTTATTTTTGCATGCACTTCTGTTGTGTAAAAGCGTTTGTAATTCTGTGCAAGCAACAAGACGTAAACTTTGCAGAAAAAAGTCAATGTTATGTCGGTAAAGTTTTCATGTCCGGCATCCCTTTAAGGGGATGCTGAAGCTGAAAACTTTACCGACAGAACACTGACATTTCTCTGCAAAGTTTACGTCGGTACACAGCATTTCGTCGTAAAAGCATTTGTAATTGGTTACACAGAATTACAAATGCTTTTACGCAATGAAAGTACATGCGAAAATAAATAGGAGCATTGCTCGATATGTGACGAAAACGAAGAAGAAATTTTTAATGTAAAATCTCAAGCTGTCAGTTAGCGTAATATTTGCCTAATCCAAAAGCTTCGCAACTTATACATATCGAAAGTATGGGTGCTCCAAGCAGAAAAATTTTGAAAAACATTGCTCTACCTTTGCACCTGCATTTGGAAGCTTAAGAACCCAGATAGAAATGCGTGATGATCATGTTTCATCACAATGTGACTTCATACTATGACTCCAATTTGATACTTTTTTAAAGATCATTATGTGATCTCATGACATGAGCACCAGATGCACATAAATGATGTACAAATTATGTTGCAAATTCTTGATATAATGTTGATTATTATTATTAAATAAGGTATTTTTGTGACATCATAACATGTCTACATTCTGAGGCGCATATGAGTCCGCATCGGTGTCTATTCTTGTCCTCATGCTTGAAGATACATGAATACAATATCCACATAGCACAAAAGTCAACGTTATTATTGTTAGAATGTTGCCAGAATATTTGCAGTAAGTTATATTTTATTGAATGTCAATGTAATGTTATATTAATGTCCGATATTATAGAGTAGCAATGTTAATATTACTAAAATATTGGGGTAACGTAGCAAAATAGTTACATTTTTGTAATAGCAATATCATATTGCGGTAATGTACCAAATGTATGTATGAAAATTTAACGTGAAAGCAACATGTTGTACTATATTGATGTAACATTGCCTGCTAAGATTGTATTGATTTTGAATGCATATATAAATATAATATTTTCATATAATGAAATTTATATCATGCGCATATTATTCGAGGATGCGCAGAGAAGACACATACGAAGATCGAAGTATGCCCAACAAATATATATAATAAAATAAATATATATATAATTACAACATTTCTTCATACTGACTAAATATTTATCCACATAGCACATAATATTACATTATATCACAGTAATATTTCCGTAATATTGTAATATCGCAAAAATATTACGGAAATATTACTGTGATATTATATATATTACGTGTTATGTGAGTAGTTATATTCACAGTAATATTTCCGTAATATTTTTGCGATATTACAATATTACAGAAATATTACTGTGATATTATATATATTACGTGTTATGTGAGTAGTTATATTCACAGTAATATTTCCGTAATATTTTTGCGATATTACAATATTACAGAAATATTACTGTGATATTATATATATTACGTGTTATGTGAGTAGTTATATTCACAGTAATATTTCCGTAATATTTTTGCGATATTACAATATTACAGAAATATTACTGTGATATTATATATATTACGTGTTATGTGAGTAGTTATATTCACAGTAATATTTCCGTAATATTTTTGCGATATTACAATATTACAGAAATATTACTGTGATATTATATATATTACGTGTTATGTGAGTAGTTATATTCACAGTAATATTTCCGTAATATTTTTGCGATATTACAATATTACAGAAATATTACTGTGATATTATATATATTACGTGTTATGTGAGTAGTTATATTCACAGTAATATTTCCGTAATATTTTTGCGATATTACAATATTACAGAAATATTACTGTGATATTATATATATTACGTGTTATGTGAGTAGTTATATTCACAGTAATATTTCCGTAATATTTTTGCGATATTACAATATTACAGAAATATTACTGTGATATTATATATATTACGTGTTATGTGAGTAGTTATATTCACCAAACAATTTAGTTAAACATATTATTGAATTAAATCTTAGTTACTAATGATTAACGTTTTTCAGCGTGGCATTATATGTTTAATGCATATATGTTTATATATGTAAAGTATTATATGTTCTTCATGATTTTGTTCCTCTTTCTTATATTTTATCATAATTTTCAATAAAAATGAAATATATAAAGGATATACATTTTCTTTTCCTTTCTTTTAATATTATCCTGACATTTTATGGTATTAAAAGAAATATTATTTCCAGCACAAAGCAACATTAAATGTAATATTGACCAACCTTGTATTAATATTTAGTTGCATTATTTCTTTAATGTTCCGGAAAGTAACATTTTAAGATCAGAATAATATTCTTCTCACGTTTACAAATGTTACTCAAATATTTTCCCTAATGTCATATTTAATATTGCATTAATATTTTTGTGCTATGTGAGTATGAGCTCAGAATGAACACATTTTCTATCTGAGAATATCGAAAAAGTTTGCAGAAAGATTTCTACACATATGTGGTTAAGTTTTCCGTTGAATATGATAAAACAAAGCAATATACATTCATATAAGTTATGTATATACAAGAAATACGAAAAGGATAGCGTGATTATGTTAGTGACGATCGTCTCTGCATTATCGACATTGTTCGAGTTCGTCATCGACTCCAGCATCTCCTTAAACTTTGCAGAAAAATGTGAGTGTTCTGTCGATAAAGTTTTCAACTTCAGCATTCCCTTAACCAAGACTCAAATCATATTTAGCCAAAACTCAAACCACACTGTTAACTGATCTTTCAGATCAGTAACAAATAAACCGCTAGATGGCAATTATACTTTTACCGGGTCTAACAGAACGGGGCTGTTATTCCAGATGTAGTACCGAAGTTTCCGCTGCGAGCCACCGTCGTTTCTGCCAAAAATATGGTTAGGAACGAATATCCTGCTCCAGAGGAAGAAGTAAAAGAGGAAGAAATGGTCCAAGAAATAGTACAACCGCAGGAAAACAATCAGGACAATGCCGATGAGCAAATGGAACTTGCCGAGGATGAAGATTATTCCAACGGGATTGGAAGATCCCTCGAGTACGACATGTTTTCTGACGATATCGGTAAGCATGTGATCGTTTAAATAAATGTTTTGAAGATGACAACTTGAGATTTTTAAAGGAAAATGGTCATATAAACCATGAATTTAATAAAAATTTAAAGTGACGAGTAAAGAGAAATAGGCTAATAAGCGTTGATTGTTTTAGTAAATTATTATTTAAAATACATATGTATTTAAAATGAATAATCCACTATATTATTACATTAAAATCGTGATATTAAATGGATGAAAACATAACATTAATTTAATATCATGATTTCGACGTAATGATATTAAATGGATGAAAACGTATTAATTGTTTAATATCATAATTTTTAGCGAACAACAAATAATATTTAAAGAATTAAGTTTCACAAGACCTTGAATGTTATAAGTATATATGATGTTATAGGTGCTATGGATATCAAGGCATTAGAGGACCAATTGGACTACTTACAAATTGCTTTGGATCATCTAGAAAAGAAAAATGACAACATAAGGGCAGAGTTGATTGATCTGTTGCAGTCCAATCGTGAGGCTAGGAAACAATTTCGAGAATCGCTGGAACAAAACGAAGCCGAGAAGCAACAATCAAAGTGATACTTACCTTGTGTTTAGAATATCACATACTTTGTTAATTTGTTGTGTAGAAATATGTTTATTATTAGAGATATCTAAACACTGTTATTTCTGATCATTTAAAAGATGTATTTCATACATTTGCGATAATTAACTGTTATATGATTATCATGAAAATTAGATTGTATATATTGACGTTGCATGTAAAACTTCCAAAAGCAACATTCCTGATAATAGAAAAAAAACAATAAAATGTGTTGAATACACACATAAGAGATTATTGTTGCAGTAAATGTGACAAATGTATATAAACAGTTACATAAATTTTATTATTTATAAACAAACAAATTTAACATAATTGTCAGTGGTAATAAAAGTATTTTTATTTCGCTAACTTCAACTACACTTATAGGGGATTAATTACCTTAAATTATTACTGACAGGAACGCAAATCAAGAAACCGGTAGAAATGTTTTCGTGTACATTGCATAGATCTGCATAGATGAAGTAGAATTTCTGTTGAATTATCATTGATTGCTCAAGAGCAACTTACGGATGCACATATCCTGACACTATTTGATATCAAACACATAATGCGTCGATTTTTACCGGTAAACGAAAATTCAGAACTGTCAGCTCGGCTAACTACTGGCCCCTAGTTATTTATCCCTGATAGAAAAAAATAAAGGAAAAAAATCTGTTATTCTTTATTATATACTCGGTTTCAACATGATTTGGACACTTTAATATAATGCGAAACGATGCCCAATGAAAGAACTTATCCTTTAAAAATGATTCAAAAACAAGTTCTCCCATTGAACATTAGCTTTCAAACTGTATCGAAAAATAAAAAGTAATCAAACTGTATTAATATGAAGTGTACATTAAGTGCGACCAACTTATTACCAAACGTGACGCTGAATATGTGGAGTCGATCATGAATGCTTTCCTCTAAGGTGAATCGTGAGAAGTAAAAATTTTTTAACTTGAAAGAGTTCTGGAAAATCTCTATTTCTCGCAAATTCACACTAGAGAAAATGATTCACAAACGCTCCCTAAATCTTCTTGTACTCGCAATTTATCGCTTTACATTATTTCCGTAAATCTCTAAAACCTGTATTTTTATAGTCGTTATTTAAAACTTGCCTCACACGAAATACATAAATTGGAATATCTTAGCTGAGATCTGCCTAGAGACGCGATACAGCCAATAAACAATGAATGATTTCGCAAGACATCACGTATCTAATAGGAAAACGCATCTTTTAGGAATTGTTAAAAAAACACATTCTCTTATTCGACGGGAGATGCGATATAAAACTAATTGAAATAAAAATATTGCAGCTTTTTGTCCATTTACCATACGATTCAGTAAATTCATCTGGAGAACCAATTTGTGACGCCTTATTGTGCTTATTTACAAATTAATTTTTATGTGTAAAGGATGGTGTGCAATCAATGAAAAAAAATTTGTAACTCTTTTAATTTATAACTCAATGAGTTTCGCAATATTCTATATCCAACAGAAAAATGAATCTCTTCTGTGAATTACTAAAAAATAAATTATCTCTTTATTCACTGATTGTACTATTATTAAGTTAGTACGATACATATCGTACAATTTAACACGTCATCGTATAAAATTACCTGTTTACTATACATATTAAATTATTAGTGTAAAGAAGACGGTACTGGCGATTTTTTTTGCGATCGCAATATTAGCTGAATTATGTCATATCTTAAGACAAGTCTCAGCCGAGAAGCTCGATTTGAGTATCTCACGTGAGAAAAGCATTAAGTAACGACTATAATTACGAGTATATCGGAATTTGATATCTCAGGCAGAGAGAGTGCAATATTACCTATTATATAGTTATTCGTACACACAAACGCTCGCACGTCGACATCTCTTACCGAACATAAATCTGGCATTAAGGTAAACAGTTAGTAGAGATATTTTACATAATACAAAAATACACGCGCGAATAGCTATCGACGATTAATTGTTTTAACAATAAATATCCATCATATACATTAGCGATTCTTCCGAACAAATGTACGGTCTCAAAAGATGCTACATCTATAACTTCTCACTTTTTTCACCTTATTTCGATGCTTAAAGCTTTAAAGTAGTAAAATTTAAGCCCTTATAAACAGGAAATGTATGGCTGACATTTTACTATACATATATAGTAGAGAGAAATAGGAAAGGGAAGGGAAGAGGAGGAAGAGAGGCGCACACGCGCTCTTATACGTGTGTGTGTGTGTGTGTGTGTGTGTCACAAACAAGTATATTACATGTTGGATTTTACACTAATCTGTAAATAATACATATTGCGCAAACATCACTCTTAGTAGTGAATATAAAAACTAACTACTTATCTCTATAAATTCGAATAAAACGTTACTATAATGCGAATACAATAAGTAGTTTATCGCACTCTAATGCGCACTGGGAGTTCTCTCATCTGCGTGATTCGCCATAGATGTGAGTGGCGAACGACAAGACCAATCGCTGCATTCGCGCTGGGCGAATTCGTACATTCTAATGCACGATAACACAATCCACTAACTTATTAATAGAGGTTCAAGATTAAGGTTTCTGTATTTTAATCAACCGCACTTATTTTTCCGCCATGTTTTGAGACACATGTAGCGCGCTTAGACTGCTTACACAAGCTAGAACAAAACATCAGCAAAGTTAGCGTGTCATTAATAAGTCAAATTAGGTTTTATAACTAATATCTTGAACATCAACCTTAGATAATTAATTTTCTAAAGTGCACATAATAAACAATAAGTAACCGACTAAGTAATATGCCGACTATTTTTATCGTTAGTTTTTCGGAAGATATTAATTTCTACTAAACGTTTTTCGAGAATGCGAAAAAGCGTACGTATTGCAAATAAAACACTGAAACCTTAACTCGCACTATCACTTTTTAAGTTTTTCTTGTACCATGGTGAGATAATTAACTATTATGGAATTTTTGTAAAAAAAAAGCAGTATTTTCCAGAAAAAGTTAATTTTTTAATATATTTTACAAAAATGTTTATGACGTAACATTATATCTTGATACATTTTACGAATTGCAACAAAAGCCATAAGTTTCTTCACCAAATTTTTTACATTTTTTTTAACACAAAATTACTCAATTTTATGTACAAATAATTAAGAATGAAAATTTTAATCTTACTTTTATTACTTTTAGTTAATTTACCAAATTTTGTAAAGTCCACTTTAGAAATTTCATTTTAAATTTTGAAAATTCCATTTTGCATAGACATCTATTTATTACCTAATTTACTATTTAATTTTGCTTAAAGGCGTTAGGATTGTTTTATAAAACGTTAATTGTCAATTTAATCGTGTCGCAACTTATATATCGATGGATAAGAAGTGATATTTTGTATATGCAAAATAATTATCATCGCTATATTTATAATACAACAGAATTCTTGCGGACTCGAATTTCTCTTTCTTTCGACAAGTAAGATGTTTTAAGGTTTTACTTTTATTAGAAATCTTACATATATGAATAATTACTTCTTACTCATCAACATAATATCTACAAAATAAGTAGCTCAAATTTCGCGTTGCCATCAACCTATATGAATATCTGTTCTTTGCATGTCTTCTATTATCAAACCTCGCAGTGCTGATGATACAGACTACAGTAGAACCTTGTTATAAATTCTTCTCCTCCTTATATGTTTTTACTCTAGTGTTAGTCCTCCCTATATCACTGCTCACTATTCCAATTACTCCCACTTATTGCATACTAACCTCACACTACTCCAATAATCCTGTGATACAATAAATGAATCAAATAAATAAAAATCGCGATATTACACAGCTATATGCTTATGTATGCAATAAGCTGAAACGAAAGAGCTTCTATGCTATTGGAGAGAGTGGTCTTAGTATGTTTTATCAAGTACGTTTTATATCTACGGTGTTCGAAAAATCAAAAATTTAAAACCTAAATTCTAAATAAACAAAAAATAAGGCAAGTAAGAGCCAACTACCGTAAGACAAGCAAAATATACAATTTAATCGTAAAGGCGAAATTTAAAATTTAATAAAAATTTTATTGATTACGTAATAAAATAACGGCGGTTGGCTCTTATTTGCCTTATTCTTTGTTTGTTTTGATCGCGTCTCAAGAGCTTTTAACTTTTTAACTAAATTCCAGACAATATGACGATATAACGAGACTCTACTGTATCGGATCCGATTTATCCTAGACACCATTTGGCGAGGACACCGACGAGGTAACATTATAAAGATTCTCAGTAAATTTCTCCAAATACCAAGGAAACTCCGAGGAGGTATTTGAAACAAAAGATGATATCGATTATTTTTAATCATCCAATAAATACGTAATCATTCAGTGTACAAAGAAGTATAAACTTTAAAGATACAACTATCTTCATGTTACATCACTATGTGTGCAAATCTACGATGAAGTATATTGGACATTTTTGTGAAACTTTGCATTTCCGCAGTTATTATCTATTTGATAGCAAGTTTTTCTATCGATAGAAAATTATTAAACAGCATAATTTTTCTGTAGTACTGAGTCCTGTAAAACCAATGGTTCCAATAAGCTAGTATAAAGCCAAATATATCTGAAGAGGTGATGGTAGAACTATCCGAAGTACTGTGATTTCCCTTTACGGGAAATTAAACCTTGCCCTCGTACAATACTTCATGGATGACGCGTTGCCATAAACACGTATTATGCCTAATTCTATTCATCAGTTGTTCTTTTCCTCTGAACAATAGAGATTCCTGTGGTTCCACCGAAGCAGAAAGACAAGTTCAAATAAATTATAATTATGCATAATAAATTTAAATAATTCTAAATAAATCATACTATACATAATAAAACTATAAAGATGTACGTATTATTGATAGTAGGTTTGTCTATCACACAGTTTCCTAATTTAATTACATACAGAATACGTTAAATTCGATAATTAACTGATCAATATTTAGTATTCCCAGTAAACACAAAGTATCATCCATATTAAAATGTCAGCTCAATCATATGGTATATTATGTAATTGTTACTTTGTTATATAACAAAGTAACAGTTACGTAATATACCATATGATTGAGCATTGTAATATCAATGATATTTTGTGTTTATTGGATTATGACTAAATTATCATAATATATAATAATGAAGTATAAATTCGAAATATAGTTAAATCTAATTACTGAGACTTATAACTATTGTAGATATATATTGCATTATTTATGTAAATGTAAAAGTATAAATTTATCTATACAGGATGTCCCAAAACAAGCTTGACCCAGAAGGTCTCGTGAAGGCATAGTACGGATTAACGTAAATATAAAAATCCTGTATCGTTTTGTGATATTCACAATAATTGTCGAAATATTAATTAAAAAAAATTTGTGAATAATCAGATGCCAGATGGTAGATGAGCTGCAGTAGCAACATCTGTCGTCGTTTGTACATTAAATCAAATTGAACAAAAAAATCCTCTATCTTTTTCCTAATAACTTTGTAGATTTTTAGTTATTGATTAGAGAAAATTAATATATTATCACGAGCGACAATGATCTCCTTTAATTAAACAGAAAAAATAAACTAGGAATAAACTATATATAATAAAAAATAAATAAATAAATAAAACAGTAGGAAATATTCACAGTTATATATCAATCTATCATTTATACATTTCTAACTAAGTTATAAAGATAGAGCAGAAATTAATAAGAGAGTTAAGTTATACATAATACATGGACAATATATGGCTATTACATATAATAACCTGTCCTATATAATAAATAAGCTAAATAATTGAAATAATCTAATTATCTTTAAAAAAATCAATTATTTCAAACAAGATTTTTGTTTTATGACAGCAAATCCAGTGGATTTTGTGTGGAACAAATGCCTATAAACTTCTTCATGTATAAAAGAAAGTGTATTTTTTTTTATAGAAATGATGATAATCAAGATAGAATGATATATTAATTACCAAAAAAGCTTAATGAGTTTAAAAATTAAACACGTTATGTATTGCTAAACGATCGAGAAAACACGTATCGAATTGATGCATATGCATTAACCTTCCATTCCAAAAATGTAAAAAGAAATAATTTTAAAAATCAAATAGAGAAAAGGAACTTACCAGAAATAGTAGTTCTTACGGACTTGAGTTCATATCTTTTTCTAAGGGATCACTGAAAAATGAAGTTTTACCGTTCTCTAAATTTAAAGGATCAGAATTTAATATCGAGTCTGTATTAACTGCTTCAGGCTGTTCCATCAACAATCGGAATGATGATTGACCCTCTTCTGATAACAAATGTTCAAAATCCATGCCTGATGAGTATGCCATGACTTCTCCACGATTAAATCTGCTCTCTGATTCTGGAACTACACAAACAAAATTACATCACTTCTATTTAATTCGTGCGGTATTTCGTTTACTTTTATTTGATCGAATAAAAATATAAACACTTCCAAAGTATAAATTTTTATTAATAAAACTTAACACAACTTACTCTGGAAAGTATTCTCTTCTTTCTCCTCCATTTTCTCATAATTCATTTCTGGATTCAATTCCGAATTAATGGAAAGTGGTAAATCGGATAGTCCAAATGATATGGAATCATCACTACTAAATAACTGCAAGAACGAAATTAATCTTAAAAGAATGTTGAAGTGTCTATCAATGATTTTGATAAATTTTAAATATCTCGTAAAGCAGTCAAAATATTAGTATTATTTTTTTTATATATGCCTATCTCTCCTAAAATAAAAATAAATTTTATTTTTAACAAATTCATCAAAATGAATTGTATGAAAAAATAATTTATCAAATAATTTATGCAAAATTTTTATACTATTTTTTATTCTTTGCAAATAATATATTTAAATCTTTTGGAAAATGTCAAATTTAATTTATCCTCAACTCTACTATTATTTTTGCTAATTTTAAGATTTTTATAAAAACTAAAATTAACACATTCGTTACCAACAGATACCTGTGACACAACAATTTTTCATTATAGACCAGCGTCACACATGCATGACAGCAAACAAATTATTTTCCTATGTCCACATTATCAAACTTTAAATTTGTTTTATAAAATCGCGTAAAAAAAATATGAAGCTATAGGAAGTCCTCTAAATAACCGTGATAGCGAACATATCAAAGAAAAATTTATGTTGAGCCATATATAACAACTAAAAATATATCTACACATGTATATTACTGAACATAAAGTATATAAATTATCAAAGAATTTTACATTAATCTCTCTAAAACATTATACGCGAACCAAATTATTTCATTTAATTTTTCACAAAAATTTACACCACTTTAATATCTGTCAGGTCTAATTCAAATTTGAGCAATATTTATAAACCATTTATAATCCATTCGTTATGGCAAAATATAAATTTCATCGACACTATCAAAGGAAATCCTTTTGAAATAAATAAATAAATGAGAAACAAAAGTATTTGGAACTATAGTATTGTCTAACAAATTAGATATTTTTAATTATTTATGTAATATTATCTATACAGTTTCAATTCCGCCTATAAATATAAAATTCGAACAAATACAAAAAAATTCGAAAAAATTTTACGATCTATTCGTATTTAAACGAAAAATATATTGCTTTTTTTAAAACTTCTGGATATGCGTACAATACTCAACACTTTCGTGTTTCGAAATTACCCGAATATTACTCATAAAATTAAATAACGAATAAGTGTTCAGATATGGAAAAAAAACTATTCGATTTATATTATTTATAGCATCAATATTTACCCCAAGAAGAGTGTTAGCATCAATTTTGTAACCATCGCCACGTAACATATCACGGATATTGTCCAGTTCCGCTTGCATTGACTCCAGATGATTATCCAATTCTTCCCTACACATAATTATACAATTGTGAGAATTTTTAATATTATATGAATAGAAAAAAACCATTAAATGGAGAATAAATTAAATGTAGATAATGTTTTTGAAAAATGGTTCAAACGGTGTGCTTCATAATGATAATATTGGAAAGAGGTATGTGCTTTAGTGTTTATATGTATGTTTGTAACAAGTATGCATTGTAACAAATATGTAAGTAACAAGTATATACGAGTGTTTTCCATCTAGAAATACAGAGATGATATAGGTCGCCCTCTAGTATAATTTTTGTGTGCTTTCTGTCCAATTCGGATAGAATTTATCAGATAAAATTTTCGTTTTCCATTCAATTCAACTGAAATTTATCAAATGGAATTTTGTATCAAACATAATGTAATGTAGAGTGAAGTATCAGAGCTTTATGTCCAACATATGAAGCGTAAAAAAAAGAAAAACAATACGCCATCATATCCGTCAGTCTTATTAATGAGATCTCATTGTACTCAAATAGGAATTATCCTTGTCGTCCAAGTCATCCCTTTATATTGTGTATGGTCAGTGCTGAACTTATATTGAGTGCTGAACTTATACCTAACCTGTAATTAGTGTCGGACATTCCTGATGAATTGACGCAGCTTAAGGACAAATCCTTAGACGAGCTCGTACTCGCTTTATCATAATTGCGTTTCTCTTCACATGTAGATTTTGTCGCTACATTTTTATCATGCCAGTTACGATTATTATTACTCTTCAATACACTTTTACCGCCGTAAATGTGATTAAATCCTTTGTTCATTTTACTGGGCCTGCGACCGGCGTTCGTTTTGTTCTCGATATTATTTCTCATATTATCGTTATTGGGCACATTCGTATCAGGTAAAATATCTCCGAAATTCACTAGACTAGAAGTATCATTATCTGAAATGTCTTCATCTATTGAGGTTTCTATATCTAATTCCTGATCAATGTCCTCTTGAGATTTCTTCATGTTAGCTACCATTGCCGCAAGTTTAGAACTGCGCACCGTCGCCACAGGTACAGGAGGTTTTAAGTCGATCGACTCGTTCTTCGATGTAGTGATAATAGTTTCTGGTGACTCTTGCCTGTCGTCTGGCATTTCGAGCAAATGTAACTCTTCCCTATAAGTGTTTTATTTAATAACACCGTTCAAAATTAATTTTCTTTTCCCTCTTCTCTTATCAATCTTTTAAGTGCTATAGAAGCATATATACAACAAATGATATAGATGGAGTATGGATATATATATATATATATATATATATATATATATATATATATATAT